GGCAGATTGTCTGTCTTCTTGTTTGTGTGTCATTTTCATCTTTTTTTATTTGTACTGTCACGGTTAAATCACATTAATATTTTATATTTTAATTATTTTTTGTTTTATTATCTCTATAAAACAATGAATATAAAATATTAACGTGACTTAACTGTGACTGCACAAAATAGCAGAAGATGAAAGGGGCATCCAAATAGAAGGGTAGACAATCTGCCTTCCCTTCATAGGGAGAGAGGAAGTGACCAGGTGCTGGGAATACAGTTACCTCTTTCTCTCTCTTATTTAGTTATTGTGCTACATTAAGAAGCAAATAACATTTTATTGTCAATTTAATTTAATTTCTAATTGAAATCTTGGCATTAAGTTAAAATACAAACTTAAACCTTAATAAAGACCGCGACCAAACAAAATTTTCAATAAAGAATAAGGCATGGCGATCACATACAGAAATACAATATTTTTATTTTTATATAAGCGATATTATTATTCTAAATTATATTAAAAAGAAGTTTAATTTTACATTTATTTTGTGTGTGGCTTTCTCAGTGGCCTATATCATTAATTGACATTGGTTAAGTTTATGACAACATAGTTAATAAGGGTTAAGTTTATAAACACATGTACACAAAAAAGTTAGTACAGAAGATTTGAACTCGCTAAAGAAAGAGGAAGAATTTAATTCTATATGAACTAGTGAGTTCAAAAAGAAGATATAACGAAGTTTTAGAAAGACAGACAAAATGTTATAATGCAGGTGTTGTTCCCAACTAAGTCATATGCCCATGAAGTTGTATCCTAACTGACATCGATAAAATTATAAATAGAACCATATAATTATAAGTTGTAAATTATTTCTGTCAAGCTCTCGATGTATGTAGATAACGTTTTACCGCAATGGCGGAAAGTAATCATCCATATGCACTCTAATGAGGGTTTAATCCTTACCAATTTTTTTCTCACTAACAACTAATAATTTAACTCAATAACTTTATTGTTTTACTAAAAAAAAATCTAGATGTGCGATTCTCAACAAGCCCCTATCAAACAGGGCTCAAGAGAAATACAATCTCAACAACACTGCAAAATGCTAGCAAAGAAAATCGAGCGATCCTCTTTGTGAAGATCTCTGAATCACATTCGTTCATTATACATCGTACAGTCATAAATTATTGTAAATTTTTTTATTTAAAATTAAATATAAACAGTACCTGACGTACAGTCAGAAATCATTGAAAAAAAATTTATTTAAAATTAAATATAAACAGTACTTGACAAAAACTGAATGCACGATATATGATTAAAGGATCTTCAAAATCCTCATAAAGTTAATCCGGCGAGGATCCTCTCTCAAGAAAATCTAAGATGAGGTTGTTGACTTGGTGCGCAGCATCTTCCCACGGCAGACCACGTGGAAAGGATGGGTGCTAAAGAAGCAAGTGGTCCCATTCATGTTCACCAAGCAAGCTGAGCTCCATCCCACTTTGATTTCTAGTATTTTATTCGATGGATCTTGTTGCCTCACTCATAGACTGTAACAAAAATGTGAGAAATTTTTTAGTGACCGTCATACGAGGTAGTACACTATATTTTTATATAAATTATGGAATATATGTGTTAAAATGTTAACAACTTAAAAAATAAAAATTTTCATTACTTACATAAAAACACGTGTTGCATCATCCATATTTCCATCGCAACTAAAAAAATTTTCAAAAATGAGTCTTGCCGACTCTTGACTCTGGATGGCCTAAAAATTAGGGGATACAGACAATGCATGGTTTGCATGGTTGCATCACAGGCTTTGTGTTGAACAGTAATGTAGGACCCTAAAGCTTCGACCATGTGGAGGGAACGGGATCCCCTCCTGATCATAGGGTGGGATCCTCCTGATCGGACCATCTAGACCATTGAAATTTGATTCAATGGCTACAAATAGAGAACTTTCTAAAAATTATAATTATTGTAGCCGTTTGATTAAATTTCAATGATCTAGATGGTCTGATCAGGAGGATCCCCACCCTATGCTCAGGAGGGGATCCGGTTCCCATGTGGAGAAATAGTAAATTTTTTTGAGAAATGATAAATACGTTAATTTTATATTTTACATATTTATGTTGAATTATATTTATTATTTTCGTTTGATTTGTGTATTTTGATATACAAAAATAAAGATGTGTTTGAGAAGTTAAGTGAAAATATGTTGCCATCTTTTGTTTTTTTTATCATGTGCTTGTATCACTGTCATGATTTTGTGTCATTAATTAACGTGTTATAAGACATGTTTGTATTTTAGGGAGTGATATCAATTGCGCGATTACTTTCTAACATCAATGTTTCGTTATAATTTTTTTATGAAAGATTATGTTAATGAGGGTTTAATTTTTTTATTTTCTCACATGGTTTAATTTTTTTATTATCCTGATCAATCACTTAATTAAATAGCTATGAAAAACAAGAAAGTGTTGAGGTATAACAAGAAGTACAAAAATGATTCTCCAATTAAAAATATACTTCTAATTAAATATGAATGAAATAATAATACTATGCCATGATTTTTTTTTTAAACCAAACGCCGAAAACTTTATTTTGAAATCATAACATACATTGGATTGGACAGAATTTTTGGATTGACCAAAACATCGTCCCAAAGTCCCCATCTTAGTGCTCAATCTATATACCAACAGTATATGATTTTGTGGGATATGAGACAGCCCCATAGGGTTTGTTTTGACAGAAAAGGGAAATGGTTTTGACCAGAGCCATTCCCAATAGAGGCCAGACAAATGTGACCTAGCAACCACGTGATATCATAAGATAACAGTTGAGAATTTCTAGGGCTTGATCTTTGGCAGCAAATGCTTTAATATATATTGAGATTTTGATCTAAATAAAATCTAAAGTTTGATTAAAATATTGAATTCATTGCTAGTAGAAATAATTAAATCAATTGAGGTTATCTTGTTTGTTTGTTTGCTTGTCAAGTGGGACACCTTCAGAAATAATGTCCATTACAAGTTTTCCCATCATGTCTGTTATGATTTTAGCCCTATACCTTAATATATTCACTCATGTGTAATGTTTATCATATATTCACTCATGTTAACAATGCATATTATTCGTCCTATACCTTAATATATGAGTTCATTGCCTGTATTCTTTATTAAAACCAATATTCTTAAGCTCAAAAAGTTGGAAGAAAACGCGGTGAAAGTTCTTTGTTCATGGTTTTTCGATACTAATTTTTACGGAACCAAAAGAATCCTTAAGTAGAATGGGATCGATTCCAACTCAACACTTTTTTTTGTTAAGATTTTGAGCTATCAAGAGAGCACAACTTGATGAGACCTTGTAGCCTGAATTTGGGGAGAATGTTATTGTTGTTAGAACAAAAATTAGTTAGTAGTTAAAGAAACGGTTGTTTAAATGGCGATGGATCAGTGCTTCAAATTCACTTAGCACCAACTCATTCCATAACAATATGTAAACAAGAGCAGATGTACATTGGGACCAATTTTTTTGATATCACTCATCAGATTCATTACGCATATGTTGTATCTATTGACATGTGCACAACATCGTTTGACTAACGACAACAAACCCACTTAGTGTTCGATCAAATACTTTAGTGAATAAACTGAAGTTTTTTGCGCGCTTCATACTATATTTCTATCCAAACAAAACTTGTACTTTAACCTTGAGAACCCCTAAAGTTTGACCCGCCACTATATGTTAATCAGTAACACCATATATCAGTGATACATGCAGAACGACTTGCTCAAGATTTCCTAGTTATAAAGAATTCTACTTGGTGGGGTTTTTTTCCTTCTTTCAGTTGGTACTAGTTATGATGTTTAATATGTAGCAACTTTTCAACATGGTCTCATTTACTATATATCAAATGCAAACCAACACGATTTGCTCATGCGCATTAGATCCTCCATTTTCATTTGGATCCACCAAATAGTTCCTGCATCGGTCCATTTTTTACACCAATATCTTCTGTCGCAGGTGTGATTTTACGTAACATAAAATATTCATAAATAATGCTATCTTAGACGAGTGGACAATGCTAATGATATATTTTTATAAGAAATGAGTGAAATATATTTAACACATGAAATGAAATAGGAATTAACTTTCGGTTTAGCTATCTGATAGTCTGAATAATTAGTCAACTTGTGTATATCATATTAAATGGCTCACTATGACGAACTGGATCTGGTTTGAATGTTGGTGGCTGATTATTTTATCAGAGTGATATGCTATGTTTATAGAATATATTAGAACCATGGATGTTGGCTAAGAAAGTGATATATGTGGGAGGAAGGTGAATTGGTTGAAAAATGAACAAGCGAAAATTGTAATTTTTCCTCATGGTTAGGATTTTTTTTTTTTTTTCTTTTTTTTTTTAAAGAATATAACATGTATTTGAAACGAACATGAAATTTCTTCAAGTATTTTTCAATATGAACATGACAAGTTTGATTAAGTGTCGACGACAAGTGTTAGACACAAACATGACACTTTTGTAAAGTGTTACTGTATCCAGTATGAAGAGGACAATTAGAAAAAAGTGCTTATGACACGTATTTGACTTGAACATGATACTTTCGTAAAGTGTTAACGATATGTATTTGACTCAACCATGATAGTTTTGAAGAAGTGTTGACGATACATATTTCACACAAACATGAACCTGCTATGAAACTATGAAGAATCAATATCATACACCTAGATGAAATTATATCTCATACAAACTTGAGAGTTCTAAAAATGTACTCATAATACGTATCAAATTACGAACATGACAACTCTGAAAATGTGATAATGACATTCATTTGACACAAACCAGACAGATCTAGAAGCATTAATCCATCATAGATCACCACGTAAACAGCTAAACAATTCATATAAAGAACTCAAACGATCACAAATTAATTGAACACTAAAATTATATGGTAAAGAACTCAAAGTGATGCGGTAGTCAAACCCCCCAACTCTCCCCTCTTGTTTAAGCATGTACCCGACATAGTGGCGATCCGTAATCCATGTCTGACGGTACACACAGTAACTACATACGGCGCAGGAAACGAAAAGAAATCCAACCAATTATTAGCATTAAAATATCTTAAAATATAGTTAAACTCAGTAACTAGTTCTAGTACTTTGACGTTCCAACGGTCCACCAAAACACTGTAAAAATGGCTGCCGCACCCACGTTCTTTCATCGTCACCATCCTCACACCCACAGCTCTAATTTCAGCAACCCAACAACAACATCACGGACATGCAAGCTCACCATCGAACCACTCCATGCCTGCATCACTGATCTAACTCTAAACCCAGCAAAACCATGCAAACCCAGCAAGCCCTTTCTGGGTTATCTCGGTCCGTACCTCCTCTGCTTCTCCTCCTGCTCTTATGCTCCACCTCCACATCTGGGTTCGGATCAATGGGACCAATCTCGGCCTCTTTCGGCAAAGATGGCTTCTTTTGCGCCATAGACGCTAGCGGGAAGCAGGGCGTGGTTTGTTGGGGGTTCAACAGCTCTCCATCGACGTCGTCTTCGGCGTCATCCTCGTCCTCCGCCTCTTTCAGCAACATTCCGTCGATGGCTGCTCTCTCCGGTGGTGAAAATTTTCTTTGTGGTATTTTAGCGAACACCTCGCAGGCGTATTGTTGGATCTCCGTTTCCCCAGGTATAGATCTTGTTCCTCTACCATTCAAGTCCACCGGTTACTCTCATATTGCTGCTGGGAAGAGCCATGTGTGTGCTATTAGAGGGTCGTATTACTCTGACCATGAATATGGAACTGTAGATTGCTGGGAAATTTTTGAAACTTCGAATAGAAGTTTAAGTTCGAAACAGAGCACTCTGTTTTCTGACCAGGCAATTGCTAACCTTGTCTTCAAAGGGGTTGTTTCTGGTGAAGGGTTTAGCTGTGGAGCTGTTAGAGATGGAGGGCTGATTTGTTGGGGGCCAAATTCTTCGAATTTAGGTGTTTCGGGTCCGGTACTACAGAATTTCACAGCTTTAGCTTCAGGGAGGGCCTCAGTCTGTGGAATTTCAGATTTTGGTGAGTTGAATTGTTGGGGTGATGCTGATTTGTTGGATGGTCATCCAAATGGAACTCAGTATGCGTCTTTGGCTGCTGGTGATCATCATTATTGCGGGATTCGACTAGATAATCACAGAGTGGAGTGTTGGGGGATGTTTAACTCCTCTTTGATTCCAAAGGCTTCCGGATTTATGGCGATTGCCTCGTCGGATTATACCACTTGTGGGATCAGGGAAGATGATTTGGTGATTGATTGTTGGGCTGCCAATGCAACTTCCTCCCCAACCGATTATGATCCTCCATTGCAATTGTGCAGTCCAGGTCTTTGCACTCCTGGTTCTTGTGGGCAAGGTGAGTTTGCTTTCAATGCTAGCGCACTCAATGAGGTTGATTTGACAAGCTTGTGTGTTCGAAAAGATCTTACGATTTGTTCCTCGTGCGGGTCAAATTGCTCCGAAGGATTCTTCTTGTCTAGTTCATGTACTCAACATGCTGATAGAGTGTGCACAGCTTGCTCTCTTTGCCAGAACAGCTCTTGTTGGGATATTTGTGGGCTTCAAACACCTCCAGAAATGAGGAAAAAGCTCTGGAATCATGTGCGTAGGTTGGTGATCATATTCGGGTCTTCTGCTTTGGGTTTTTTGTTGATATTAATTTGTTGGTGCCTTCTTCCCCGTTTAACTTCTCGAAAAAAAGAAGGGAGCAAAAAGCAGTTTAAATCTTGCATTGGGAAAGCAGAGTTGGAAGCTGACAATAATGAGGATCCAAACCCTCCTCCATCCGTGATTCCCTGTCCTGGGATTGCTCAAGTGTTCCGTCTCTCAGAACTAAAAGACGCCACCAACGGATTCAAGGAGTTTAACGAGCTTGGCAGGGGAAGTTTTGGCTTTGTTTACAAAGCTGTGCTAGCAGATGGACAGCAAGTTGCAGTCAAGAGAGCAAATGCTGCCACTATAATTCACACAAACAGTCGAGACTTTGAAATGGAATTAGAGGTCCTTAGCAAAATCCGCCACTGTAACATTGTAAACTTATTGGGTTACTGCTCAGAGATGGGGGAAAGGCTGCTTGTATACGAGTATATGGCCCACGGGACGCTTTATGATCATCTCCATGGTGGGCTTTCAGCCCTGAATTGGAGCCTTCGGTTGAAAATTGCAATGCAGGCTGCTAAGGGGCTTGAGTACCTTCACAAGGAATTCATGCCTCCCATTGTTCATCGCAATGTCAAGACCTCGAACATTCTTTTAGACGCTGAATGGAGTGCGCGGATTGCAGATTTCGGACTCCTTACATCTAATGACAGGGATCTCAATGGAGATTTAGCAAGTGATGTTTACAACTTTGGAGTAGTACTGCTAGAGATTCTCAGTGGAAGGAAAGCTTATGACAGAGATTACACTCCGCCAAGTGTAGTCGAATGGGCACTGCCTTTAATCAAACAGAACAAGGCAGCTGCCATAATCGACCGTTATATAGCTCTCCCGAGAAATGTTGAGCCTTTGCTCAAGCTTGCTGATATAGCAGGACTGGCGATAAAGGAAAATCCAACCGAGCGTCCTACAATGTCGGATATTGCATCTTGGTTGGAGCACATTGTGAAAGATGGATTGACCTTGTAGTTTCTGAACCAGGTCGCCGGCTATTCATCAAAGATTAATTGAACAAATATTTGTTACAACTGTTTCAGTAAGTACTGCTCTAATCTTCCTCAACTGTACATCTATTTATGAGCTGCTTGTAAATGAAGTGATTAATCTGCTTGTCTCGGATAATTTCCCTTAATCCTCACAAAGCGAAGGGAACATGATTTTTGTACCATTCCACACTAGTTTTCCACTTGATACTCATCCAATAATTTCCCTTCTCATGTAAAGCATTGGAGAGCCATCCCTACTTGAATTTGGGAGCCACTATTTTAGATTTAATGCATGATTATGCCCTGAACATTTCATTTTATACGATGGTTTCGAGCATATGATTCATTATCAATTTAACAAATTCTTTACTTACTACCACATTTTCTGTGGTTGCGTTTTGTATTAGCAGAATCTTCCATTTCTTTCTTGTGTTTAGTCATGACGGTAACAATTTAAATTTCTGAACTATCATCATCATACTTCGATGATTTTGTTCATATTATTCATTGACCAGTTCTACTTATGATTTGAGGAGTATTGAATCATTCACTGCATTAGATATAATCTCTTTGAACCGCGATTTTTCGGTCATTTGATATCTGCTTGCAGTTTTTACAAAAACACACTATAGAACTCAGAAGTGTGAAAACTACAGCAGCATCTTGTGAACTGAATCAACGGAGAAATGGAAATCCAACTCATCCAAGCACTCTTACGACGAGTCGGTTTTGGAAGAGGGAAATAACCTTATCTCTGTGACTTTTGCATTGCAGCTTCTCTCATCGCCCCACAGTGGCCGTGCATACCATAACCAAGTTGAAGACAAAAACTTGAAAAGGTAAGTGGCCTTTCAGTGCTTTGTTGATTGGTTGAGCATGTTTTGTGCAATTTGACAACTCAAAAGCTTGTCAATTGATTGGTTTCTGAGGTGATCCGAGTAAATAGTGGGCAAAAAGTTGAGGGACATATATGTGGCATATAGTCCCTTTCGCCAAAAGGCCCCTCCACTACCAGTCAAGTCGTTCTTCACATTTCTCGCACTCAAAAGGTACATGTCCTAGTGACTTGAGGCACTGTCTTGGCTTGGAAATTGGGTGGTCGACAAGTGAGGCTTGGAAGTTAGAGCCGGGTTGGACCGCCTGTCGCCCGCTTCATTTTTGGTCGACCAGCATTATAACATTGACTAAATTGTAACAATGGTCCCTCAACTTTAATCAAATTGGAGCAATGATCCCTCAACTAAAAATCCATTACCATTGGTCCCTCAACTTATCAAAATGTGTAGCTAGTCTTTTTCATCAATTTCATCAAAATTTTGTCAAAATAAGTTACGTTGGAATAACCATTCATATAATTAGGGTCCCTCAACTCGTGTATTTATGATCATTTTCGTCAACTACGTCAAATTTTTTGTCAAAACGAGTTATGTTGGAAGGACCATTGTTACAATTGAGTTAAAGTTAAGGGATCATTTCTCCAGTTGAATTAAAGTTGAGGGACCAATGGTAATGGATTTTTAGTTGAGGGACCATAGCTGGACATTTTGATGAGTTGAGGGACCAATGATAATGGATTTTTAGTTAAGGGATCATTACTCCAATTGAGTTAAAGTTAAAGGACCATAGCTACAATTTACTCTTATAACATTTGCAATTTTCTGTTTTTCGTTTAGATTTATATTAAATCTTGTACATTAACATTCGGATAAGAGAATTTTGCATGTAGCATACGTATAATGCATGTCTGGTTCTTGTTAGAACTGGTTTGGATGTCATAGCCATTCGGTAATGTAATTTTTGCCTTTTACTTCTTGTTTATGAACTTTTGGCACAGTAATTAATTAACAGAAACAGGTCGAGAAAAGCTCAACATACATGCTGGTTTTCGCATTAATTTACTGGGAGCTAACTTTGTACACATGTACTTTGCAAAAGTGCTATCAACAAGTTGAGAAAAAATAAGCCTTGCAGAATGGCTACAAGGACAACACATAATCCTCAGATTTATACTGATTTTGTGTGCTGCTAGATGTAGAGGCCTTGGAGAAAGTGCTATGATCATATGAGTTCTCTTGCCTCGTTTTGATATCCATGAAATCCGAAACAAGTCCGGGTTGCGAAATATGAGAGTCCTTGATGTCTTCCTTGTCGGACAACATCTCAACCACCCTTGACATTCGCGGCCGGTGGTTGGCCCTTTCTTGCACACAAAGTAGGCCTACCTTCAAGAATCTGATGGCTTCGTCCGAAGGAAAGTTCATCTGAAGCGTAGGATCAACTAGTTGTACATGGGTTCCGGCCATGTGTGCTTCCCATACCTGCAAGTTCACAAACAACATTGCTTCAGTTTTGAAGTTACAATCGAAAGCGTGTTCAAGGCCACTTTGCTTCAGTCTAATATTGACTGTTATTTGAGGAGCTAATCTCGCCAAATCCTCTTATGTTTATACCAAAAATGCATCCAAAGGCACTATGCAAGTAGTAATTAGATGCTCTAATTTAATTTGTTTACCTTCTGAACCAGGTACTGCTCCCCAAGTTGCATGTCAAAATCCACAACTGCTTGGCCGCTGACAATTTCCAACAACAGCACTCCGAAGCTATAGACATCTGATTTTCGAGTCAAACGCCCGCTAATTGCATATTCTGGAGCAAGATAACCTCTTTTGGATTATTGTGAGACACCCCATTAGCAACGCAGTAGCATTTCAAAGAGTAATCCAATCACAACGCAAGAAGATTTACTGATTCAAACAACTTACATTGTCCCGGCTACACGAGTGCTAACGTGAGAATGGTTGTCCCTTAACAACTTCGATAACCCAAAATCGCCTACTTTCGGTATGAAATTCTTATCAAGAAGAATGTTGCTGGATTTAATGTCTCTATGCAGAATGTGAGGATCAACTTCCTCGTGTAGATAGGCGAGTCCTCGAGCTACTCCAATCGAAATACCCCGTCTTGCCTCCCAACTAAACCTCATCCTGTTTTTCTCTCCACCTATTGATCAATATCAAATCGTTAATGCCTTCACAATTTGCCTAATAAAACCAGTTAAAATGTGGATTATTCAGGTAGAAATTGAGAATTTAGAAGCGGATGAATGATTATTTACCAAGTAAAGTGTGTGTGAGGCTATTGTTTTCCATGTAATCGTAGACCAGATATCTTGCAGCTCCATCAACACAACACCCTTGAAGCCTAACAAGATTCTCATGTCTGATTACAGACAGAGCAGCCAATTCTGCTATGAACTCTCTCTCTCCTCTCATCGATTCGAGTTCAACGGAAAGAACTTTCACAGCCACAAGGCTCCCATTTCTAAGCTGACCCTTTATAACTCAATCAAAATCAACCCCATATCAGCAAACATAATCTATATTACATACATATATAGGGTAAACTGCAGGTTTGACCCCCTAAACTATTACTCCAATTGAAATTAACCACCCAAACTATTCTTTTGCTAAATTAACCCCTTGAACTATTTGAAATAAGCCAATTCAACCTTTACCGTCAGATTGAATGAACTTTCATTCATTTTGCAGTCAAATACTGGCATGACTTTACCCCCTCAAGAATGAGGTGGTCAAGTACCAGTATTAGACGGCAAAGTGAAAGAAATTTCATCGAATTTGACAGTAAGGGATTATTTCGCTAATTTCAAATAATTCAAGGATTAATTTACAAGAAAAAAAAAATTCAGGATCAATTTGTAATAGTTTGGCGGTCACACAGCAGTTTACTTTTATGTATATAAACACACACATAAATCATAAATGTAACTGGTTTCAATATATGCAGAATTTGATGTTGCAGGTGAGAGAAAAACCTTATAAACAGAGCCAAATCCGCCTTCTCCAAGCTTGCTAGAGGAATGGAAGCCATTGGTGGCAGACTTCAACTCCTTGCAAGAGAAAATTCTGAAGTTTTCTGGATTTTGACCATCTGGGTTGTATAAAAAAAAGTACCATAAAGCAATTAAGACCACAGTAAACTGCGGCAAAAACCAAGAACAACCAAACCCTAATAATACCTTGCATACTTCTTTCAATGGCCTTTTTAGGTGAGGAGGAGAAGCAATCTGTGCAAGGAAGTGGGAACTTCATGTTCCAGCAGCTGGATGCACTTTTTTTCTTGGGTTTTTGCTGCTGAATCTTGGGTTTGCTTGAATAGTGAAATCTTGAAGTTTGGGACTAATTAAAATTGGATTAAGGAGAGCAACCTAAGAAACAGAAATGGAGACTCAGCAATATAATATTGCCCGCGGGTTTTGACCTCAATTCTGCAAAATTCCATAGTTTGAGTTTCAACTTAAATATTTTCCATTTGAATATTCTAAATTATCGACCAAAAAAAAATATATTTTTTAAATTAGAACTCGACTTGTTAACTATAGTGTCGGAATATTACATGTCAAATTGTTTTTTTCACACGTCAACAAATTACGAATATAATTACTTAATAATATCAAATGTACCTTATGACATTGACCGCAAAATAAATTAGGCCAAACACATAGATAACAGATATGAAAAAAAAAAAACAAAACAAAAGTCATACTAAAAAATAAATACGTTATAAATTTAAAATTATTATTTACAAAGTAAACAAATACATATTTCACAAAGATAACGTGTTAGTGTTGTGTTTTGTGAACAAGCACATTAGTAATCATGACAAACCATTATAAACCCGTCTAAACATGGCTCGAATCTAACGCTTAAATATTCATACGTGTTCGTATCATATTATTTTGTATACTTTTGTCGAGTCTAGCATTTATGGTGGCTTAGAAAATAAAAAGCATAATTAGTTTGATCAAACAAAAATTTCCTTTTCATTCAATTTAAAATAATATCATATGGATGCCGTTTCAAATGTATGTGGTTATGTAGGTGCAAAAGTAAACACGTTATAACTAAATAAGTTAGCAAAAGTGCCTAACTAGCAATTTAACGATTCAACACGCCTAAAAGAAGCAAAAAGGCAGTCATCAAAGACTCAAACGTGCAAAGAATGAGACACGAGCACCACATCCCCCTATGACTGCTTGGAGACCAGTTGAATATTACAGAGTTTTCTTTGGAAGGTCTTTGGAGAAAAGGCTTTTATTGGCCATAGCCTTTGACCCTTTATGCCTACTAGCAATTGACCATTCTTTCCACAGAATATTCCTCCGTCTTGTTGACGCGTATGCGCAAGTTTTTTGTTTTTAGGTATGTTTTAACGATTTGTATATGTTCATGTGTCAATTGAAACTTACATTGCAGATAAAGAAGAATGTTGGTCACAATTAGGGAGCCAAGCTATGCTCATACATGAACGTGCTATGTTAG